AAGACCTGACGTACGCTAACAGATCAACGCGACACACAGATAATAATAAGTTATGGTCAGAAGTATTTCCACCTGCTTACCGAATAAAATACTAATTAATATTGACAGTAAGTAACCTTGTTACGGTTTTTTATACGAGAAACGTAATAAATAATTAATAAGCCTAATAATAATTAAAAATGATATAATTTCAGACTCCTGTGTTAATGATCCAGTACCTCTATTTCTATTTTTTATACCGTCTTTAATACTTCCATACACTTTTAGATTTTCCGTAGGATTTGGAGACTGATAATGTGCTTACTTATTAGTACATGCAAATACATGCATCGGAGATTTGAAATGTATACATGTTATACCATGTCTATTAATTAAATTTCATTCACAGATAAACAGTTTTTTTTTATATACATCTTTTATTTTATTATGAAAATGTAGTTGATTCTTGTTTAAGTATACATTGTCCGTGTATATTATTACGAGAGTTATTATATATATTTTTTTAATTTGAAAGGCAAGCTCGTACATGTAGGAAACTATTATGATATTCTTTTTGTATGGGTTAACGCAGGTAGTTTTGTAGATCAAAATGATCGTAAATATATCTATAAAAATTTGCTTTTCAGAATATTCTATTTTTTCTGCACATTCTTCTCTAAAAATATCAATAAATCTTTCTTTAATTAATTAATAAATCTTGTTGTCGTTAATATAATATTTCCAAATATACCCTAGGCCAGGTTAATCCCAGCCTCTGATATATACTGTCCACTGTGTAACTTGCTAAAGGCGCTAAGTGGTACTAATTGGTCAGCTGTTTAAAGGTCAATTATCTTTTTCATTGAACCATGAAAGTTCATAGGTACACTAGCCCGGGACCGCTTGACTGATTTTTGACACCTTTATAATTACCACACACAGAGAGAGCACTCCGTTAACAAACTTACTATAGACAGAGACGTATTGTAAGTACAGGTTATTGCATGGTTTTCAAGTAACAAGGGATTTATTACACCCGAGCGAAGCGAGGGTGTAATAAGTCCCGAGTGACGAGAAATCATGCAATAACTGGCTTACTGCATGCTTCCCAACTCGAACAAAACAGAAAAATTGAGTAAAAAATGTTCACCTGGACAATCTTTTTACCTACCCTACACTGCAGATAATTTACATGTACCTGTGTGAGTGAGTACTAATCAGAACCAGGTAAGTTTGTCTTTATTCTCAATAGCCCAGTCTGAGTGTATCCTTCATAATGGATACAAGTGTTTTTGGATTACTATCCACCTCCAGTGTCAGGGAAGGTAAGGAGTGTCTGTTCAACAATTAGAACAAAATACGGGAAACAACGTTGAATTTCTGACTACATTTTCAGTTTAATTTTCAAGATGTGGCAAA